TTTTTATAAGATTCTTGGTATTAATATTTATTGATTTTAGACATTTATTACTAGCGCCTGTTTTTCACTTGTTCTGTGTTCGTATCATGACAATGTATGGTTCAAATAATTCAAAGATCTTATGTAGTCCTACTCACGTTTTCTAGAGCTAGAACAAGCTCTAGAATGAATGGCATATAGTGGTATAATTCCCTCTTATAGGATACATGTGATGATGTAGTCAGCAGATATCACAGTGTTAAGGGCACCATAAAATCCAGAAAAAATAGAAAATAACAACAATAGTGCTCTCTGTGTAAACTGAACCAGGAATAATAGATCAGTAATTGTTACTTACAAAAAAAAAACTGAAAATTGGCAAGCCCTAACTTTCCAAAACACCATAAAATCTGTACATGTGGAGTACTGTTGTACCCGTGAAATGTCGCTCAATACAAAATATGTGTATTTTATTGAAATAAATGCTAACAGTATTATGACATTCACAGTTAAAATGCCATGGAGAACTTGGAAAACAAAAACAATTTCTTGATTATTCAAACTTTTTAGATTTTATTCATATAAAATTATGTTTCATAAATAGTTCATGTGAAATGAAAGCCATATTTCTCCTGAATAAAATTAGATATACTAAGTGTGGGTGCACTTATATGAAATATGTAAATTATGGTTGAACAAACATATAGTTAAATTCTTGAGTTTGTTTACATTTTGTTTTGATCAAAACATGTACAATTGCCTCCGTCCTTAAGCATACTTTTTGTTGTTTAATTAGAAATATACCGGGGCCAGAGATATTATTTCTTGATAGAACAATGGTAAGATTTAGGCACAGCAGAATTAATTTGCATTATTGAATTATAAGCATAACCCTTATAATAGAATGATTCAGAAAATTGCATCTCTACGTGCATTCTGGAACACTTCATTTGAGTATGCAAGCATTAAAAATAATCTAGCTAGAATTTTGGCTTTAGTTAGTTCTCAATCCATATCGCTGCAGGTAATGTCAATTAACTAGGACATGTGTCTGACAAAAAGAACAATTTACAATTTGTACATCGTAGTTTGGTTGTTGGTTTCCAATATTCCCATTCAATTATCTCCTTATTTTTGTTTCCAAAAGAAAGCAAAATCGAAAGATTTATTTAGATCCTGCAGAACTGAAGGTTGCCTTGAATGTGTTTTAACAACCTTGGCTTTTTGGGTCACAGTTTCTTACTGTGATTAATAGTGTCCTAAGCCACTTAATACATTATTGATTTTTAATTCGATAAAAAGGATTTCTGTTGGCAAATCACATTATTTAAGAGTAGGAGAGGCTGAGTGAACAGAAGAAAATGTCCTGCCACTTTAGCAAATCCAATGAGAAGGTGAATCAGTAAAGCAAAAATTTAACTCATTTAACTTATTCAGATAGTATATCAATTCAAAATTACAATTTTAAAGGAAGGCACTGAAACAGCCTTATATTTATCAGATAATAAGAAACATCACTTAAGGTTTTTTAACTGCTATCATATTTGTGACTACACATATAACTAAAATGATGTCTGTAGTAAACTGTTTGGCAGCTGTGGCAATTTGGAAAGGAAAACATATTATTAATACAGAAAAAAAAATTTCAAATAAAAGTTACAAAAAGTGTGATATGTTGTAAATCGTTTTCTTGAAATTCAATTCCTGCCCAACTGTAAAATTCAAGTTGATTTGAGTAATACTCAAAATGGAAAGATGCACATTTAGGTCCAACTGTTCTAAGTGCCTGCAAGTCCAGATGATATAGGGAATGCATTTTGAAAGCAAGTCCATACACTGCTGATGCTCAGTCTGTGCAGCTAGTTAAAGCTAAAACAAATTAAATTCAATGCACTAGTCAGGGATAACCTCCCAACAAGTCATTGAGAGGGAGACAGATGTTCAGGTCTTCCGACTTAGACTAAAATTAATGAACCACCTCAAGACCTGCTAAATAAATAAATAAAGATTCACAAATTATAAATTGTGTTGACCAAACATAATTGTAAGTATTATATCAGTTATATACTTGTATCAGTAGTATTTTCCACTATGTAGCAGATCCTAATAAATCCAGATGGTGTGCCAAAATAATCTCACAAGGAAACTCTGTTTGTTTATCTCAGGAGGCAGAAATTGATGCTGATGTCAGATAATCATTATTTTGCTTAGAGTTGACCACAAAAACTGGTGCTTCTCTAGAATTGACTTGTGCCTCCACCAAACTTGTCCTCAGCCCTGGCAGTCTCCCTGTGCCTGCTGATAAAAAGTGTTCATACATACAACATGTGTTATCAGTGTGATGGACAATTTTAGTTTTTCACTATAAATAAAATTTACATCAGATAATTAAATGTTGGCTTCATCAGAGCAGAAAACATTCCTCACATGGTTTTTATTTTAAACTGTCTCTGACTAATACCCTTCATACAAGGTCACTTTTGGTGGACAACCTTCCCTTGGCAGAGTTCTGGTTATAACACAGTTTCTAATAATACACATAACAGTGTATCGAGAGATGTTCAAAGTCTGACTTTTTCTTACAACATGGCTCTGATTTCAGATCTGATTGGTGCTTCTCCACAACTGTACCTGTATGTGTTTTTGATAGATATTTGGTCATCATAACAGCATTTTTCTAACAAATTCTGGAACCTGATAAAAACAGATTAATTTATTTGTGTTCTTATCATGCTGTAATTGGACATAGGTTGGCACCATTCAATTAATAATCAGATTTATGAAGACAATTAGTAGTACCACAATTTATTTAGAGTTTTTACATTAATCAGAATTTCTTACATAGATAGATGTGTGCACAAATGATGCATCCCATAGTGAAAAGCCCCCAAATATTTCAACAAATAAAAACAAAAAGAGTCCACATCTAAATTACCCTTTTAACTTATGGAGAGTCCTTAACGTTCTCATTGTTTTCATAGTCTCTGTTTTTGTTACAATGCATTTTTTGTGCGCTCCCTAATTTAAAAGGGTAATCCAGATGTGGACACCATACTCACTGTACAAAGAGGCATAACAGCTACACCAAGCTGGCAAGGCCCAAAGAAGGCCAAAATGATCGTCCATTGTTGCTGTATTTCTCATGCAGGGAAAACTTGCCCAGATTTTGGAACTTCTCTTCCCTTATGAGAGAATTTAGTCAGATATGCAAATAGTATAGATGTCTCTCTGCAGTGGTACAAGTGAGCAAAACTTGACTGAACAGGGGCTGACAAAATAACAAACAATATAGGTTTATCTGAGCTTTTGCCCATTGGAGATCTCATATTATCTGTTTTTTTTGAGAGATCAGATGGGATAAAATTTACTATAACTCTGGCATGCTAGTTCATATGAGAGATGGCCAGACACATAGACACCGTAGAGAAATAGACAGACATAAAGGCACATATAGAAATAGTCAGATAGACAGACAATCTCATAGTATTGGGCCATATTCACAATTTAGGAACTATAATATGTAATAAAATGTATTTCATTATAGGTAAGTAATTGCGTAAGTATATTTTGTTATTTAATCAAGAGCCATTAACTATAAAGGAATTAGTCATCTACCTTATTTAACACTGTGTAAAAAATAGTTCCTTTTGTTTAATATAATATGAACATCCAACACAGTTTTCAGCCTAAAAGCATTAAAACAAGATGTTAATTAGTTGCTTTATTAAAATAAAGATTAAATTCAGAATGTTTATGACATGTGCAGAGGAAAAACAATTATAATAGAAGCAATCTAGTTTTACATCACTGAGCTTTTCAAAAGGAACAAAAAATAAAATCTGAAACAAATTGTAATTGCAACCCCCCCTTCCTCTCCCTATATATATATGCATTAATCTAAACAAACTGTTTATATAAATGACCAGTTTGTACATTACAGTTTCATAAATATGTAGGCTTAGTAATTCTAGATGCCAAACAAAAACTAATTATACCCATGTTCACAAATTGATGTAAGTATCACACAGAGGGTAGAAGAATGTGTGAATAAAAAAAAATATTCTTTTCATAAATTTGTACAGTATTTTAAGAATATTATTTTTAAGAAAATGATTTGACAAAGAAGATTAAGCCCATTATAGAAAATAATCAATTATAAATATGTTCACATTATGAGACATTAAAATCTGCTGGAGTTTTACTAGTTGGACAGCTGCACCACTGTGTACTTGTTTGAAATTTGTATGCATGGATGATAGTTTTAGGGTTAATTATTCATTTAAAGGGACATTCCAAGCATCATAACCACTAGAGGCCTACTTTCAATGTGGTGGACTGCTCCTTTAGAAAATGATTGGTTTGAGCTACTTTTTGAACATGCTAGTATGATTGCGAAACAAGTATAGGGTTGGGTGAAGTGTAGTGATATCTGGATGCAGGCAAGCCACTGTAAAAGGTCACTCAAACCTTAAAACATATAATAGAAACAAGAAAATACAGGGCGCCAAAAACACCAGATAAATAAACGAGGATAATAATAAAATGAATGAGGATAATACTGTTTATTGAATAATGTGCACCAACACTGTGCAAATAGTAAAAAATATATATACATAAAAAGCCTTAATAGGCTAAAGACCCATAGGTATAGCAACTCTAAATAACATGAAAAAGTGCTAAATGCTAAAGTGCAGACAGTGGAATAAAGTGGCAGAGTGCAACTCCCATCACTCCAAGCTGGTATACATTAATAATGTCCACAACTGGTCACATAGGCAAAAATCATGTAAAACAGAAACTGCTGATACCAAAGTGGAAGGGTCCTCAATGCTGCTCAACGCGTTTCGTCCTTTAGACTTCGTCAGGAGCTTCTTAATCTTCTCACACTCTTCTCTCTTTTAAATCTGCCGGTCCGCCGGTTCTTTCGTGACTGCGCATGCGCCCGTCACGCGCACCGTCATATGTCATGACGCACGCGTGAACGTTCTGCGCATGCGCGGCCATGCTGGAACGCAAATAATCTCCTCTTATATAATACCTTAGGTCTCTTAGGTAATTAAAGAATATTTTACCTAAGAGACCTAAGGTATTATATAAGATGCCTAATAACCTTAGAAGTATTTTAGCTCCAAGCATTTTACCTAAGAAGGAGGTTGAAAAAAGTGGTATTAATTTTTTATCTGAAAAACCTAAAGGTTTTTTTAAATGTGGGAGATGTACTACATGTAAGTTTCAGAAAAATAAGGTAACAGAATTTTGTAGTTCAGTAACCAAGGAAACTTTTCAGATTAAGCACTTTATCAATTGTCAAAGTCAATTTGTTGTTTATATGTTACAATGTAAATGTGGCGTCCAGTATATAGGACGCACAATTAGGAAACTTCATATAAGACTACTTGAACATTTTAATGGTATTAAAAATAAGAATACGAAACATAGTGTTCCCAGCCATTGTAACGAATGCAGTGATTTTGATTTTAAGGATTTTATGTGTATAGGGATTGATAAAGTTATACCACATTGGAGAGCAGTGGCGGATACAGGGGGGGGGCAACGGGGCAATTGCCCCCCCCGAGAATTCCGCCGGTCTCCCTCCCCTGCAATGTGCCTGTGGACCGGAAGGGAGATCACAGATCTCCCTCCCCGGTCCGCAGGCACTGTGCTGGCGGCCGGCGGCGGAGGGAGGGAGTGAGAGGGAGGACCCGGAGCTCAGGCTGCAGCTCCTCCGGGTCCTCCTCTCGTGAGATTTGAAGCGTTGCCGCGGTTACCACGGCAACGCTCCAAATCTCGCGAGAGTGAACTCTAGCCCGGGAGCGCGGGCTAGAGTTCACTGTAACCACTGGGACCACCAGGGAATCACCACTGGGACCACCAGGGATCGAAATATGTCCCCCCTCCTCCCCAGTAAAGGTAAGAAGGGAGGGGGGACATAGGATAATATTTATTTTAATTAAATAAAAAAAATATATATATATATAATAAAAAAAATCCACACACACACATATATATTGCCCCCAATACTGCCCCCCCAATACACACAAACTGCCCCCCCAGTCACACAAACTGCCCCCCCATCACACAAACTGCCCCCCCATCACACACACAAACTGCCCCCCCATTCACAAACTACCCCATTCACCCCCCATACAAACTGCCCCATACACACAAAGCTGCCCCCCCCATACACACATACTGCCCCCCTTACACATACTGCCCCCAATTTATTAGAAAAACACGCCCCCATTCCACAAACTTTGCCCCCATTCACAAACTGCCTCCCCATTCACACAAACTGCCCCCCCATACACAAACTGCCCCCATTCCACAAACTGCCCTCCCCATTCACAAACTGCCCCCCAGCTACACAAACTGCCCCTTTGTACCCCCCATACACTACATACACATACATACTGCCCCATACACACATACACACATACTGCCCCATTAGAAAAACACTGCCCCCCCATACACACACACTTTATACCACCTGCCCCCACATACACACACTGCCCCACATGCACACACACACACTGCCCCCCATACACACACCTGCCCCCATACACACACTGCCCCACATACATACTGCCCCACATATACACACTGCCCCCCATACACACACAAACTGCCCGCCATACACACACAAACTGCCCCCACATACACACATTGCTCCCCCATACACACACACATTGCTTCCCCATACACACACACACACACTGCCCACCCATACACACACACACTGCCCCCCCATACACACACACTGCCCCCCATGCACACACATACACTGCATCCCTGACATACACTGCCGCCCTCACTCACACACTACAACCTTCACACACACACTGCACCCCTTACACATTGCACCACTCACACACACCACTGCTCCTATGCCCTACTACAGCCCCATTTCCCAGCAGATCTCAGGTAAGTTGTCAAACTGTTCTAAAACGGTTTGACTACTTACTGTGGGAGGGGGTCCCGGCACTATTGACACCATAACCACTACACTGAGCTGTAGTGGTTATTGTGTCTGGATTATTTCTTTAAATAATCTACAAGTGCCCCTCCCGAGATCAGGCTCTGTATCCGCCACTGTTGGAGAGGGGGAGACACAGAAAAGATGCTAGCAAAAAGGGAAACTGAATGGATATATAAAATGAAATCCTCTGTTCCCTTAGGTCTCAATACAGATTTGGATATTTTATCTTTTATTGATTAAGTTATTTATTCATATTTATCCTTTTTTATGTTTTTTTTAAAAAAAATATTTTATAAAATATCTTTTTATGGTCTCCTCATGAAATGTTTTTTAAATAATGTTTTTTAATAAAAATATTTATATTTATTTATTTCTATATTTTTGATGCTGAATATTTTTGCCTCTGTTATTTATGTTATTTAAGATTCATTATAGATGTCCCCATCTTACTTATTTATCTATATATATCCATCTATTTTTATGGATATAATATCTTCTTATGGATGTATTATCTGTCTCTTTATTGTCATCATTATTATTATTATGATCTTGGATTTCCTTATATGTGACCTGTTCTGTATACATATATTGTATTCATTTTATTCATGTTATAAATGTGTATTCATTTTATTCCTTTTTTAACATATTTTCTATTCCCCATGAAGCCACATTTATATATAAACGAATCAGCCGACAGTCTTAGCATTAACTATGAACGTTCTTGATGTAGGACGTTCAGTTGCTACTGTGCACATAGAACAATAAAGATTATTTGCGTTCCAGCGTGGCCGCGCATGACGGTGCGCGTGACGGGCGCATGCGCAGTCATGAAAGAACCGGCGGACCGGCAGATTTAAAAGAGAGAAGAGTGTGAGAAGATTAAGAATCTCCTGACGAAGTCTAAAGGACGAAACGCGTTGAGCAGCATTGAGGACCCTTCCACTTTGGTATCAGCAGTTTCTGTTTTACATGATTTTTGCCTATGTGACCAGTTGTGGACATTATTAATGTATACCAGCTTGGAGTGATGGGAGTTGCACTCTGCCACTTTATTCCACTGTCTGCACTTTAGCATTTAGCACTTTTTCATGTTATTTAGAGCTGCTATACCTATGGGTCTTTAGCCTATTAAGGCTTTTTATGTATATATATTTTTTTTACTATTTGCACAGTGTTGGTGCACATTATTCAATAAACAGTATTATCCTCATTCATTTTATTATTATCCTCGTTTATTTATCTGGTGTTTTTGGCGCCCTGTATTTTCTTGTTTCTATAGTATGATTGCGAGACAGAGTATTCATAATCTAGTTAGTTGAAATAACAACAAGCACAAAATACAAAGTAAATTAACCCCTTAAGACCACAACTTCTTGAATAACGTGTCTTTAAGGGGTTAAATTGAAAATCAGCAAAACAATTCAAAACAAAATAACACTCACAAATGTGACTTTTTTTTTAGAAAGAAAACCATATAAATAATGTTATAAACAATCTTAGCAATAGAATTTAGAACACTTTCCTATATTTCCAATTATGTTTCTTTTATTATACTTACTGTATGTCTACCATTATTCTCTGTCTAGAGGTCTGTTCCACCTTCCAACCACAATAGTGTCTTAGCAACATCTCTACATCTGGTTTACAACTTCCATATATTAACATTCTACCTAACACTTAAAGGAACACTCCAAGAACTATAACTACTACAGTGGAGCGAGGAGTATCCTGGCACCTTTAATTTTAAGTAATCAAAGTTTGAATGATCTGACTTCTTACTTGGTGCACACTGGGCAGCACTTCCCACCTCACGGCTGATGGACTTAAAAGCAAGAAACTCCTGTTAAGAACTCTATTATGTTTCCTAATGCAGAGCTACCTAATTGGCTGAGTGTGTCATCTAATCACTCTCAGTCAAAGAGTTAGGCTCTGCACCAATGGGCTTAACTCAGGCTTCCGGAACTCTCTGAGCTGTAGAAGAGGCTGGGAGAAGTTCACAGCATACCTCAGTTGAGTAGTCAAATCATTCTAAAATAGTATGACTACTTACAATGGTCAAGGCATCATGGCTCTCCTGTCACCATAAACTCTACAGCATGGGTGCTGGTAGATCCCTATATGTTGTAGAACTATAACTTCTATGATGCTTTGCATGCCCTTAGAATTACTTTAGAATGACAAAGCATCATGGAAGCGGTAGTTTGGAAACATCTGGGGATCTAACTTTGGGCGCCCCTGGTCTATTGCATGCTGTAGAAGTTTTGGTACCTAGAGTGTGTATTTAGCATTTCTTTGATTTTAAATAATAATAAGTTAAAGTTTAGGTGCTAAGTACTCTGATTGTGATCCAGTCTTCCCTTTTCAATAAAAGGTTTGATCCAGTAACTGAGTAGGAATTTCTTTGTTTACTAGACAATGTGTTTCGTGTTATATTCATATTATTGCAGTGAGCGTGGCTGGGTTTATGCCATGACACTTTCTTTCCATGAGCACAGTTTGCTTTGAAAAATAGTGGTGGTGGTTTGAAGATCTGGCAATGTGGTGGGGAGGAGTTTATGACTGTATGGTTTGAATTCTTAGGATATCTAATAAACATGGAGAAGGGGAATATACACAAGACAGTGCTGAGAAATAGCTGGCACGAGAGTGGGTGTGGACATACTAGGTATAAACAGAAGAGAAATGTTTGCATTAATCTAAACTGAGAAATAAAGCACCAATGCACAGATGCCATAGAGGGGTACAGCTATTTTGTCTATAATAAAATTGGACCTTATAACACCAGCAAATGCAGAAACTGGAGCCTGTTTTGTAAGGTTATTTTAAATGTCAAGGCTGCAGCAACACATCTATAATTAGACTGGTGATTAATGATGTTAAAAAAAGTTAAAGCTATGACTCTGTGATCAATCAAGCACTAATTTGCATGTTTAATTTTATAATTGTGTAGTTTACACAGATGTAGCTCTGCTTAGAATTCTCACATATTTTATTTTTCTGAAACATTTCTATGTTAAGTAAACACAACCTAATTCAAGTCAATGAGATGTTCTAGATATATTTACAATAATAAAATAATTCATTTCTTTTGGGCTGCCTTATTAATCTCAACTTTGCTTTTAAGG